CCGGCGCTCCGGCTGGTCGGGGAGAGCGGGACCCCGGCTGGGCTCGGTGCCCTCCCCTGCCACGCTCCCCGCCGGGGGGCGGAGGGGGGGTGGCGGGAGGCTTTTTTGCCTGGGGCGGCAAAAAAGCCAGAGCCGGCCCTGCCTGCTAGGCGGCTGCTGCACTGGGAACTTAGGGGAACGGGGAGATGAAAGGGGGACTGCTGGTCCACCCTGGTTCCAAGCCCCCACCAGCTAGCTCCAACGGGCTGCTCTTCCTGCAAGCAGTGGACAAAACAGGCGGCTGCCAAACAATGTTAAGGGAATATTGCACAACTTTAAACGAGCATGTTCCCTAATTGATCAGCAACATAACAATGAAACAACGTTAACTGGGACAACTTTAAGTGAGGAGTTACTGTACACACATGGCAAGGATGACTCCTACAGTATAAGACCCTATCTCTCCTCCATGCTTCAATAAACGGTGTTAGAGAAATAGCTTATATGGCAACATAGAAAACTTTAAACAAACATTCCTAGAATTTATAAGAGCTGATTATTTTGGAATTAAATTTGATCTAACCCAAATTCAATAATACTACTAAAGGGCTTGATTTGACTTATTTTTAGTTGAATATTAGTAAGAATATATTAGCTTTGGTGATTGTTCTCTTGATTTGATTTAAGTATTTTAAATTTAGAAAAAAAAACAGTCACATATCTTTCAATAAGGATTGTGGGTCCATAACCTTTGAGGACCTGGGTCAACCTAAAAGCCTCTCCCCCCAGTTAGCCTTTGGTTCCCACAAATGCTTTATCTCCCTCCCTCCTTAATTAAAAGCAATCTCTTCCTTAAATTAAGTTGTATTTAATATGAAGCAATAGCACAGAAAGAGGAGTAAATGTTTAGGCAAATAGCTTTGATAAAGGTATAGGGATGGGGCATTCTGAGGGCAATAGCCAGTTACCTTGCAGGGGTTTGTTTCTGAATAACCCTACAGCAATTATCCAGCTATACAGTGCTTATGCAAATAGATTTTCCTGAGCCAGAGTGCAAAGATTTGCATAATATAAATAAACATACAATTATGGTAAATAATTACACAGCAGTTACATTTGGGTTGGAGGAAACATTTCAGTACAGACTGTATTTGAAGTCAGAACTACTTATGTAGCAATTTTATATGCTTTATTTATTCTCCCCTCCTCATCATACACACAAAGGTCTTGTAGAGCTCCCAGAACTACTCTAGAGCAAGCTGTAACAATAGCTTAAGGTTGGGATATGCCATCCTAAGTGTATCAAAATAAGGAGCCAGATCCTTAGCTGGTGTGAACTGGCAGAGCTCCAATGACTAAAGTGAAGCTATGCTGATTTACATCAGCTAAATATCTGACACAAAAAGACTTAAATTTACTGGAATTCATTAAGTGAATTGATTTTTAAAGGCAAAAATGTTACCAGTAACACAACTTTTAATTCCCCAATAAGCATACCATTTATTACACTACTTTTACTATACCTCTTCAAGTCCTGCAAATTTGGATTTCAGCTCCCTTATAGAAGATTCAGACTTGTATTTTTTCTCTGTGAGATCCTTATTAACAGTTTCAAATTCAGATACCCTGGTTTCTAAGTGATGTACTTTTCTGTTGCAAGTTGCTTCCATCTCTTTCTTTTGCTGTTCATGCTGAAGCTGGTACTGTGCTTGAATCTTAAGCAGGAAGACAAGGATATTAATCATGCATATATACACAGCATACAAACATCTGATTTTACATACAGATATATTAATTTAAAATTCAATTAAATACAGTTAAAGAAAAAACGCACACCAGGCTCACAAGAGATACAAACAATATTAAAACTCAACATTTATACATTCCCCCTTCACTGTAGAGTTCAGGGAGTTCTTTTTTTTTTTTTTCCTCAGAAGATGCTATTAGATGAGGGAC